AGCGGGGTCCTCGTCTCAACCCTATTTTCAAGGCATTAAAATAATCTATAAATTGAGCTGTTAAAATGTTATTTAAATGGCAATTATTCTTTTTTTCTGTGTGTGTTTTAACCTCTGCATCCTTCTCTTTGACCGGAAACGTATAAAATACTATAGATTTGAAAAAAAAGCAGAAAATTACAAGATTATTTTTCCTTACTGAAAGCCCAGAGCACAGCAGTGGGTGCCTGCAGGTTTGGGCTCTGCTGATGCCTTTGACTGCGTGGGCAGGGACTCTGGCCCCTCTTCCCCCTTTCCCCTCATCCCATCTGCAGTTTGGCTTTAGGGAGGAGGTTGGTGCCGGTGCCCTCCCGGCCACCCACGGTCCTCCTGGGCCCAAGAGGATTTGGCTTTATATAGTACCTGGGAGATGCATGTCAGATAAGACTGGCAGGCTTTCAAAAGCTTCTCTCCAGCCTTTGTGCCAAGACCTATAGGATGCGTTCCAGAGCATCTCCCATCAAAAAAAAGGCAGTGAAAGAGCACATTGCTGTTAATGACTAGAAATCCTTTAATAACCAACATTACTATAAATTATATGTGCATTCTGACAGGTACAATTGAGCGCTCTGTTTTTCTTGCCCACGTTAGAGCACGGAACAATGTCCTCTTGTTGCAGGAGCTGAAGTGGATGGCACTTTGGGTGAAACCAGGACTTCTCCACCACATACCTGTGCCCCCGGAGACGGTCGGGTCCCCTGAAAGCTCCATTGTTCTTCCTGCCCTATTGCACGCACGGTGATTATATAGCCTTGGATAAGCAGTAATACGTTGCTTGCTGAAATAATAACCTATCCTCAGTTTAAACAGTGCTATATTTAAGATTTATATATATTTAAATGTCGGTAGTATGTGACATATTATCATTTGGATGACAGTTTGTAAATAAGATATTGGAAAGAAAAGCATCAGCTGCATTTAGGGAGGTAAATCTTGGGGTCAGGCAGGACGGCCGGATCCATGTGGATTTTAAAGAAGCCTCAGAACCTCTTGGGGTTGGGGATGGGCAAGGACCCTGCCTGGGTCCGAGATCCAGGAAACCCCGATTACTGCTTCCATGTCTGAAGGTCAATCTTTTTTTGTAGCCCTTTTAACTTGTCTTTATTCCCTAACATGAAAAAAAGGGCTAACAGCATTTTCCTACCACAGTGGGATGTTGGCCGACCGTTGTAAATAGCTCTAAACCAAGACACAGGTGTAAAAGCTCTGCAGGTCAGCGTGGCCATCACGGGTCAGCGTTAGTCCCACCCAAAGTGGGTCTCAGCACTCAAATCTGCTTTTACTCCCCAGTTTGGTTTCTACGCAGGGAGGGAGCTGATGAGAGGAGGACATCAGTCCCAGCCAGGAAACCCCACGGCGGAGGCTGTAGGTCACTTACAGGATTTACGTGATTTTGGGCATTGCGTTTTTATCGAGGCAGCCCGCACATTTCCTAAAACCCACCCAAAAAGGGTTGGGGAAAAAAGGAGCTTTGCCCCTGGTCCTACAAAGGTCAGTAGGGGAAGAAGTAACCCCAAAGTCAAAAGACCTATTTACATATTATTTATGCATTATTGACGTATTGTTTTTTGTATTATGATGATGTTGGTGCCAATCTCAGTGGGTTGGTGCCAATCTCAGTGGGCATCACTGTATTGATTTCAAATGGAGTCTTTTGGAGGAATCCCTTATGTCCAGCTAATGCACACAAATTTAAGTTTGCCATAAAAAAACCCCTATATTAACTGAGTTTATTTAAATCCATGGTCTTGGGTGTCTTGGTGCAGGTTTGGGGAGACGTGGCCGTCAGTCAGTCCCTGCAGGAGGTACCCAAAGACCCCCAGAGAAAAACTATGAACGTTCAGGTTGCTGACAAATTGTTGGTTTTAATGCTTTTCTTGTTTTGTTTGGGGGTGTTTTTTCTCCCGGCTGATCAACTGCTGGGAAATGAATCGCCGAGATTTTTTTGCTCATGACCAAAGCTTCCCTGGTCAGTTTTCGGGCTGACTCCCCTCCCACCCCCCCCAAAACCCACCCCCTCGGACAAAGCTCCTTTACTTGTCGCTCTCCGGAGCAGGTTCCCGTGGTTCGAACCGAGCCGCTGCGGGGGGAGAAGGGCTGGGATGAGGGCGGGGAGAAGGGCTGGGATGGGGGGAGCCCCCCCGGGGCCGCCCCCTCCGGAGGGTGTCCTGGCCACGGCCACGGCGCCCGTGGGAGCTCCCGCTGTGGGTCAGCGACAAGAATCACCATTTTGGGGGGGTGTGGGTGTTATTAATTTTTAATATTTATTTTTGGGGGGGTCTCATCCCCCTGCGCCCTTCCCCAGCGCCGTTCCCACCCGGCCGCGTGGGATGGGAAGCGGCGCCGCGCCTCCCCCCCTCCCCTGTCCTCCTCGGCTGCCGGCGCCCGCCCGC